GCAGTCCCCAGCCGGTGAGTGAGGGGTCGGGACGCCTGGGTCCTCGGGGAGTTGGGGGCCGGGGCCAGGCTCCTGGTCAGTAGTGAGAAGGAGGCCGGACTCCTGAGTCCTGAGGAAGGGGGGCGGGGGAGCCTGGACATCTGAGTCTGGGGAGGGCCCGGATGGGGCCCGGTCTCGGGGTCTGGAGAAGTGGGCTGGGGGCCCGGACTTAGGATGAAGGGATTGGGAGCCTGGAGCCCGGAGTCCCGAGCCTGAGGGAGGAGGGGTCTGCTTGGATCCCCAGTGAAGGAATCATGGGGTGAGGGGTCAGAATGTTTGAGTCCCCAAGGGAGGAAGGTGATGGAGGCCTGCTGTGTCAATCCTTAGGAGGATGAGAGAATTTGGGACTTTGTCCCCAAGGGAAGCAAGTAAAAGACCTTTGTTCTTGGTTTTAGGGGCTGGGACTTCTGGACCCTAGGAAAGAGGGGACTGGAGGCTTGGACTCCTGGATCCAAGGAAGAAGGGGAGCAGGGGGGCGGGGCAGACTGCTGGGTATTGAGAAAGGACAGAGAAAAAAGGGAGCCCAGGGACAGAGATGAGAGTGGCTGGATCAGAAAGGAATTTAGGGCACAGAGGGATTCCCTTGTTGCTATTTCCGGTATTTGTGTTACTATTTGTTATTATATCTGTTGCTATGACTCATGGTCATGCCCACATGCCATACCCTAAATGGCTCTTAAACTTTATTTCCTTTTTTTCTACCCTTTTTCTAGCCCAAACAGATGGCTCCAGGCCAAGCGCCCCATCAGGCCGTCCCTTGGAGGGATGCCCACCCCATCTCCCTCCTGTACCCACTGTTGGGCTTCTTTAGCCGGGCCTGGAGCCTGGTGAGGGGCCCAGGACCTGCAAAGCCATGGATGGTGGCAGCAGTAACAGAAGGGGATCAGGTAGAAGCCGGCCAGGAAGGAGAAGCCAAGGCTCCACTGGCAGGCCACCAAGTCCCCCGGGGCAGGCAAGCTCAAGGGGAGGCGGAAGACAGTGGAGCCCCAAAAAAGGACAGAGAAGCAGCCAACCTGAAAACCAGCAGTTGCCTTCTTGAAGCTTGGGGATTTTCCGATGATGACGAGTATTATGAGGAACGAAGAACCAGTGTCCCTAAAGAGCAGGGACGTGCATTTACAGATGGCCAGCTTGCTCCCCTGTCCCCCGGCCTTCTGATAAGAACCCTGCAAGGTTCAGATAAGAACCCCAGGGAGGAGAAATTGGAAGAAGAAGGAGCTGCTGAAGACGACGGGGTGACCGAGTCCTCTTATCCTCTGTCACACCAGGCGCGCTGTGCGGCAGTGGACAGGGAGGGCGATGGGAAAGCTGTAAACAATGGAGCCCCCAGAACTCCCCACCTGTCTCCAGGACCCAAGCCCAGCACCTGGGTGTACTGCCCCAGGGAGGAAGAGGATCAAGCCACGGAGGAAGAAAGAAGAGAAAGTAAGGAAGCCAGGAAGACCTCCGTTTCCCCCTCCCCTGCAGGCTCCAACCCTAAGGCCCGGGAGTTCTGTTCAGGAAAGAAGTCTGGGGACAAGGATGAAGTGGCTCTCAAGGAAGCAGCTGAGCCAGAGCCACACTCCTCGGTCCCAGCCCAGAGGCCCCTGCTCAGGTCCTGGGAAAATCAGCCCAGTAAGTGCACAGAGGAGGACGATGAAGAGGATGAGGATGGTGCTTTGGGAGCAGCTGAGAAAGACAGAGGAGCTGAGGGTCCTTCTCCCATCTCCACCCCAAGTGATTTCTTGAAGGCCTGGGTGTATCGGCCTGGGGAGGACACGGAGGAAGAGGAAGATGAGGAAGAAGAAGATAGTGATTCAGAATCAACTGAGGAAGAGGGAGAAGCTGAGGCTTCTCCTTCTACTCCCCCTATGAGCCCCTTCTTGAAGGCCTGGGTGTATCGGCCAGGGGAGGACACAGAGGAAGAAAAAGATGAGGAAGAAGAAGAAAGTGATTCAGAATTAGCTGAGGAAGAGGGAGAAGCTGAGGCTTCCCCTGCTATTCCCCCCACAAACCCCTTCTTGAAGGCCTGGGTGTATCGGCCAGGGGAGGACACAGAGGAGGAGGAGGAGGACAAAGATGATGAAGCAGCTGACTCAGACCGGCACCCCTCCCTTGGGTCCCACAGCGCCCTCCTCAGGGCCTGGATGTATCGACCTGGAGAGGAGACAGAGGAAGAGGAAGCCACTGAAGAATGCAGAGAAGCTGAGCCCTGCCCCTTCCGAGTGGCCATCTATGTACCTGGAGAGAAGCCACCACCTCCCTGGTCTCCTCCTAAGCTGCCCCTCCGGTTGCAAAGGCAGCTCAAGTTCTCAGAAACCCCCACTCGGGACCCGGACCCTGAGACTCCCCTAAAGGCCAGAAAGGTAGGTGTGAGGGCCCAGACTCTGAGTCTTAGCGGGGCGGGGCGGGAGCTGGGCCTCCTGGGTCCTGTGGGTTGCAGAGGGTTGCATGTGAGCTCTGCTGGGAGGGCCGTGTCCAGTGTCATGCAATCCTTTGTAAGAGGCTAGGCCCTGTGGGAGGAGGGAGCAGCTGTGACTCGGGCAGCCCCAGGGAACCACCTGTACCTTCAGTGAGTCACATGGAAAATCCTGTGACTGTGACAGGCAGGTGATAACCAGATAGCAAGCATTTTTGTGCCTCCCTCCCATCGGGAACCCTGTGGTGGTGTCCATCTTGTGTCTGCATCCCTGTGTCTCCATGTCTGCGCTTGTCTGTCCCCAGGTGCGCTTCTCTGAGAAGGTCACCGTCCGTTTCCTGTATGTCTGGGCAGGGCCGGCCCAGGCCGCCCGCCGGGGCCCCTGGGAGCAGCTTGCCCGGGACCGAAGTCGATTCGCGCGTCGCATCGCCCAGGCCCAGGAGGAGCTGGGCCCCTGCCTCACCCCTGCTGCCCGGGCCAGAGCCTGGGCACGCCTCGGGAACCCACTTCCTGCTCTGAACCCCAGCCCTGCTCCTACCCAGACCTGGCCATCTTCCTCTGTCCCTTCTACAACCCCATCCAGGCCACGCCCTTGAGCCATGCAGTGGCCGCACCCTCTCCCGCCCTCCTATCCTAGTGCAAACCACAGACAGCTCCTAGCCTGGACCTCGATGGGAGTGTGGCTAAGACCAACTGGTTTGCGTGTTATTTATTATTAACTATTTTTAAGTGTCAGTTTATATAAGAAATAAAACCTTTTGATTTGTAGTAAGCAACGTCTCCTTGTGTGTCAGAATGAACAGTATCCTACTCCTGGGTCCTGGAGGAGGTTGGAGGGAGAGGAGCACAAAGGCAAGCATCTCAATAGAGATAAACTACATTTCCCAACATCCATCTAATTTGCCTCCTCTCGTCTTGAGGCTCCTTTTGAACTTAAGGGCTTACAGAATGTTTGGGAATGCCTAAAAAAAAAAAAAAAAAAAAAATGAACTTAAGGGCTGATTAAACTTGGGACAATTATCTCCCCAAGGGGGCTGGAGCCTTGAGTCCCTGATCCCTAAAAAGAAAAGGCTGGGCTTCAGTTGTCTGTGCCTCCCTGGAGTATTAAGGCTCAATCCCCTACAGGTGTAGCAACCTCAAACTCCTGGGCTGAAGCGATCCTCCTGCTTTAGCCTCCTGAATAGCTGGGACTACAGGCATGCGCCACTATGCTCGGCTAATTTTTTCTATATATTTTCAGTTTTCCAGCTAATTTCTTTCTATTTTTCTTTTTGTAGAGACAGGGTCTCGCTCTTGCTCAGGCTGGTCTTGAACTACTGAGCTCAAACGATCCTCCCACTTCAGCCTCCCAGAGTGCTAGGATTACAGGTGTGAGCCACTGTGCCTGGCCCATAGACAGTTTTTCTTTTTTTTTTTGAGACAGTCTCACTTTGTTGCCCAGGCTAGCGTGAGTGCCGTGGCATCAGCCTAGCACACAGCAACCTCAAACTCCTGAGCTCAAGCGATCCTGCTGCCTCAACCTCCCAAGTAGCTGGGACTACAGGCATGCGCCACCATGCCTGGCTAATTTTTCTATATAATTATGTTGCCAATTAATTCTTCTATTTATAGTAGAGATGGGTCTTGCTCTTGCTCAGGCTGGTTTCAAACTCCTGACCTCAAGCAATCGCCGCCTCAGCCTCCCAGAGTGCTAGGATTACAGGTGTGAGCCACTGTGCCGGCCTAGACAGTTTTCTTTCTTTTTTTTAATAATTTTTAAAAATTATTTCTTACAATTTTTTATTTATTATTTTTGCCTCAGTAAAGAATCAACATTGTTTCAGATCTCGCAAACTTAAGGAAAAAAAAGAAGTATAAAAAACTTATTATAAATTTAAAAAAAAAAAAAAAAGAATCAACATTGGTGAGAATAGACAGTATTCTTATCGCTAGTGTGGCTAACAATTGTACATACCTCATGGGATGGCAAAGCCCCAAAGGAGTTAAAATTTAAAAGATTGCCCATCAAATAAGTGCTATATAAGTGTTAGCTAGTAGCGTAATTATTCTCATTCTCAACCACACGTCTTCAATCACCCATCCAAGTTACAGGCAACGGGATATAAATTATACCATGAAGGGATCTGTGCAGTTCAACAAGGGTGGGCCAAATGGCCAGTCTCATACCCTGCACCACTCTACTGGACTCCCCAGCTCCTGCCATATACTATCCTGTCATTTCCCCAAAACCACCAAGCCTCGACCACCTTTAATACCTTTGGAATAAGCTCCGCTTACTGCCTAGTGTTCCCACCCGGTACCCTTCTTGCTCAGCTAGATCCTTCTGATTCTTCAGATGTAGTATGAAAGTCACTTTTTTAGAGTTGCCCTGCTCTGGTCCAACAGAGTTGTGGCTCAATGTGCTTTTTTGAGCATGTTGCCTTCTTCGTTGTTCAAGGCCCATTTCCCATGATCTCCTGTGAACCCCATAAGGGTAGACGCTGCCCACTAAGTGTTGGTGGTTATTAAGATGGTGCAACAGAATGCATGTTGGGGCCCTTTCTCCAAATAAGCAGGCACAGAAACCGGTGAAGGGATGGTATTTTATTGAATTACTCACACGCCAGCTTCCCATCTAAACTGGACAAACAGATGGCAAAGGCTTGGAGCGGGCAAAGCGGGTAACGGAAGTCCATGGTGAATGCGTTTTGGGCCACACGGCCGAACTGGAGCACCAGGTACTCCGCTGAGGAGGAAGACAGGTAATAAGCCTTCCTTAGTCAGACCTCCTCATCTCCCCGCCTCTGAGCTTCGAGAACTATGACTTCTAAGAGGATGTGTGGTGCCCTCAAAGCTGGGAAACCGTCTGAGGGTGGTGTAAACTACAATTCCCAATAAGCTTTGCAACAGCCTGGCATCTGCCCTGCTTGCAAAAACGCTCAAGTGGCTGATGGGAGACGTAGTTCTCTGCTCAATGCCCCTGACCCAGGTAAACTGGTTCCCAGGAGCTCACCATTATGCGGTTGCACAATCTGGAAGTTCTTGACTGAGGCCCGAGTGACTCGACCTTCAAAATTGAGCACATAGGCACCGCTCTCCTCACTCCACAACGGGGTTTTACTCTTCAGTAGGATTAGCTCCTGCATGGCCCCCTGGTGGAAGCGACTCAGTATCGACCCCTGTGCCTAGAAGATGAAAGGAGGGGACGTGGTTAACCTATGACCAGTCAGCTTTTCCACGCAAGTCTGACAAAGTCCTCCAGGCTTCACATGTGACCTTAACCCACTGGCCCCATCATCCCCTGGGATCTAGGAGGATGGGCTCCGGGCCCCTCCTCCTCCATTGACCCAGAGATTTCCAACTTTGAGGACTCACGTTTTGTGGCTGACAGATGATTCTCTGGTTCTGGCTGTCCACTGCTGGGATGATCACAGTCATTTTCCGAGGGCCCCGGGATCCCAAGATGTTGGTCTCCTGAGAGTATTATATTCCAGTTGGCCTGGCTCCTTCCCACCATCCTGCCCCATTCTCTCGTCCCTGGGACACTCACATAACACACAGCTCCCAGCTCCTGTCTGATGTGGGGGCTCTGCAAGAAGCAATTCTGCTTGTTGGGATTCACCCCATTGTCAAAGATGGTGAACTTGGTGCCCAAGACATTGGATCTGCTCCAGGAGGGGAGTGGATGGAATAATAATAAATGTGACTCTTTGGCTGTACATTAAGTGCTTTCCCAAGTCATCTCATCGTAAGACTGAGACACCACACCTGGCCTATTTATTTATTTATTGAGACGGAGTCTTAGTCTATCTCATGGCTAGAGTGCCGTGGCTTCAGCCTAGCTCACAGCAACGTCAAACTCCTGGGCTCAAGCAATTATTCTGCCTCAGCCTCCTGAGTAGCTGGGACTACAGGCATACACTACCATGCTTGGCTAATTTTTCTATTTTTAGTAGAGATGGGATCTCACTCTTTTTTTTTTTTTTTTGAGACAGAGTCTCACTTTGTTGCCCAGGTTAGAGTGAGTGCCGTGGCATCAGCCTACCTCACAGCAACCTCAAACTCCTGGGGGTCAAGCTATACTCCTGTTTCAGCCTCTCAAGTAGCTGGAACTACAAGCATATGTCACCGTATCCAGCTAATTTTTCTATTTTTTTTTTTTTTAGTGGAAATGGGGTCTCACTCTTGCTCAGGCTAGTTTTAAACTCCTGACCTCAAGTGATCCTCCCACCTTGACTCTCAGAGCGCTAGGATTACAGGCATGAGCCATGTGCCCAGACAAGAAGTTAAATGTTTTAAATGGCAGCCTGTGCTCCAAAACTTTCAGCACTTCTACTCTCAACCACCGTGGGTGTACAACCTGAAGAACTCCAAAACCCATCGGGTCCTAGAGCAGGTGGAACTTGTGGTCTGTGGCCTGTTGGGAAATGTAGTCCCCTTTTCCCTTCCTGCCCCCCCAGGCTCCTTGCTACCTCTTTCTCACCACACATCACCTGAGTTTGCCCACAAAGTAGTCCCCATTCCGAGATAGGTCTATGGGGTCCATGGAGATGAGGTAATTCGAGGTTTTGCTCCTTTTTCTCTTTCGCCCAGCCAGGAGGAAGGGCTGTGGATGGGAGGAACAGCCCATCAGAACGGATTTCTGCCATCTGGCTCCAGTTAGGAGTCCAAACATAAGGAAACCCAATGTCCCATGACTAAAGAGCAGGTGATAACACAACAAGCATCCCAGGGTTTGCTGGGAGACATGGTTCTCGCTAAAGGCAGCAAACAGCTGGGTCCTAAAGCAGAGCTTCGCATCTTAACATCTCCCCCTTATTCCTTCTGCCAATGCGTCTGGGGTTGGGGCTTGGGGCCACGCAGGGAAGAGCCTGAATGTGACAGGCAGGGCCTGGCTTGGGAGAATGGGGAGCAGCCTCTCTTGCAACATTGCAGCAGGACTTTGGGAGGTCTTTCATCTAGGAAAAGTGGCTCTGGCTCTGCTTAGGGAAAAAGCCACTTCCTGGGAGAGAGAAGGTATGCTGAGGGGGCCACACTGAGAGGGATGTGGCTTGACTTTGGAACGGAAAATCCGTGAGGGGCGAGGCTTGGTTCCATGTCAGGGCTTATTCCAGGATTGGATGGGGTGAGATAGCAAAGAAGGCTCGGTGAGGTCCAGGCTTGGACCAATAAAGAAAGGACCAATAACACCCCTCCGGGGGCTGGAAGGGGTGGAGTTTTGGATACTTGAGAGGACGTGGCCTAGCCTTGAGAAAGGCGGGCCCAACTCTAGAGTGGGCAGTACTGGGTTATGGGACGGGTAAGAGCAACACTACTGGGCTCTGTCGGGAGAAGATTCTAGTTCTGGTAAGGACAGGACTTGGTATTGGGGTTGGCAGGTCCTAGCTGTATGAGGCTGTGGGGCCTCGGGCCCAGATGGGTTGGACCGCACCTTCCGGCCGTCGGCCGCCTCCAGGAAGAGGTAGTAGGAGGGGTACATGCCCTTGTCCACTCCGTGCTTATTGCGACTGATGAGGCACTGCAACGTGAGGCCCGGGAGCACCGGCCGCAACACGTACGCCTCCATGGACTCGCCCAGGTGACGGCCTAGGGTGCAGGGTGCCGGGCAAGACATGCTCCACACATCCATGGTGCCCACGCCAACTCTGCCTTCCAGGGCCTTCGATAACTCCTGGTCGGCTGGTGCTGGGGAGCTGGTCTCTGCAGACCCCGACTCCTCTTTCTTCTCTTCCAGGTCTTCAGCCTAGCCCATGCACCAAATTCAAAGTTGAAGGACATGCACACAAAATCAGATTAAAAAGAAAAAAAAAAAAAGTTGAGGGACAGCCACTGGCCCCAGCCGTGCCAACTACTGACTGGCCTTGCCAGTTCAGGGATACGCCTTCCCAGCCCGTGTTTTCTGCTTTTTGATCAAACATCTCAGTCAGCCCACCCACAAGCCCTCATCTGTTGACTGGCCAGCTCTATTTGCTTTCTTCTGCAGCCACACCCACGTACAATTGGAGAATTTCTCTGCGAACACTGCCCATTCCTCCAAACGGTGTTGGTTTGGTCTGGATAACATAACACAGCCCAGATCTATCCCAAGCGAAACCCTCTACTGCACTTTCACCAACACCAGTGTAACTGCTGATGGGCCTTCCCTGTCAATGCTCTGCTCCCTCCCGAGGTCATGGGCTGCATTTTAATGGCCATGCCCACATCAAGTCAAATCCTCTGATTTGATAAATCGCACTCACACACAGCCTCTGCTAGCCGGGTCGATTGATCGATCGATCGATCGTAACAGGCTGTGGGTGCTTCTGTCCACCAAGAAAAGGGACTCGGGTTGCAGAATTTTAGCCCCACCCTCCCCAGAGGTGCCAAGCCAGCCCTCCTCTTACATCCTCAGTAGCTGTGCCTCCCTCCACCTGGTGGGAGGTCAAGTTTCCAGGTCCCAGGTCACCATCCATTCCAGGGTTTGGTCCCAGGTCACCGTCCATTCCAGGATTTGATCCCAGGTCACCATCCATTCCAGGGTTTTTTCTGAGGTCAGTATCCATTGCAGGATTTGGTCCCAGGTCACCATCCATTGCAGGGTTTGGTCCCAGGTCACCATTCATTGCAGAGTTTGGTCCCAGGTCACCATTCATTGCAGAGTTTGGTCCCAGGTCACCATCCATTCCAGGGTTTGGTCCCACATTGGGCACTTTGTATTCATCTCCAACATCCTGGGATTCACTCTTCTCCTCCACACTGGCCCCTAAGTGGTGGAAGAAACCCAGACACAGAGCTCAGGACATCTGGGTCGCAGGAGTTTGGGACAAAGTCATCAGCGTTAGCTAAAGAAGGCTAGAAATCAGTCTCTACTCATCATTCAGCACCTGTACTTGCCATATCCTCCTCCTCCCCCATGCCCATGGGAGTCTACAAGGGACAGTAGTTTCTGACTCCCCAAGGACAGGGAGGGGTTAGAGTCTTTCCCTTTTCTTTGTCCCAGAGAGAGCAATGGAGAGACTGGGGGACTAAAATGGGGGAGGAGGAATTTGGGGTGATAATGAAGAGTTCTGTCATTGAAATTATTGGCTATATCATGAGAATAAAAGGAAATGTGGCCGGGCACGGTGGCTCATGCCTGTAATCCTAGCACTCTGGGAAGGCCGATGCAGGTGGATTGTTTGAGCTCTGGAGTTGGAGACCAGCCTGAGCAAGAGAGAGACTCCGTCTCTACTAAAAGAAAAATAGAAAGAAATTAGCTGGAAAACTAAAAATATATATAGAAAAAATTAGCCAGGCATGGTGGCGCATGCCTGTAGTCCCAGCTACTCGGGAGGCTGAGGCAGAAGGATCGCTTGAGCCTAGGACTTGGGGTTGCTGTGAGCTAGGCTGATGCCACAGCACTCTAGCCCAGGCAACAGAATGAAACCTTGTTTCAAAAAAAAATAATAATAATAATTAAGGCCGGGCGCTATGGCTCTCGCCTGTAATCCTAGCACTCTGGAAGGCTGAGGCGGGTGGATTGCTTGAGATCAGGAGTTCAAAACCAGCCTGAGCAAGAGCGAGACCCCATCTCCACTATAAATCGAAAGAAATTAATTGGCCAACTAATATATATAGAAAAAATTAGCCGGGCATGGTGGCGCATGCCTGTAGTCCCAGCTACTTGGGAGGCTGAGGCAGCAGGATTGCTTGAGCCCAGGAGTTTGAGGTTGCTGTGAGCTAGGCTGACGCCACGGCACTCACTCTAGCCTGGGCAACAAAGCGAGACTCTGTCTCAAAAAAATAAAATAAAATAAAAAAATAATTAAAAGGAAATGTTACCACAATGAAATATTATAAGGGGGGAGGGAAGGAATGAAGTACTGATAATACTACAACATGGTTGAACCTTAAAAACGCTCTAAGCTAAAGAAGCCAAACTCAAAAGATACGTATTGTCTGATTCCAGGTACATGAAATGTCCATAACAGGCAAATCGTAAAAGACACAACTTACATTAGTGGTTGGAGGGGGCCAGAGGGAAATGGAAGAGAGGCAACTGCTAAATGGTACAGGATTTCTTTTGGGGGTGGTAAAAATGTTCTAAAATTGATTGTGGTGATGGTTGCACAATTCTGTAAATACAGACAGCCCCCACTATCTGAGGATTCCATATCCATGGGTTCAACCATCCACTGACAAAAAATATTTGGGGAAAAAAAAATTTTAATAACAAGACAACAAATAATATAAATTTTAAAAATATTGCATTACTGATTATTGGAATAAGAAAAAAATACAGGCCAGGCTTGGTAGCTCATGCTTGTAATCCTAGCACTTTGGGAGGCCTAGGTGGGAGGATTGCTCAAGGTCAGGAATTGAAAACCAGCCTGAGCAAGAGCGAGACCCCGTCTCTACTAAAAATATATAGAAAAAATTAGCCAGGAATGGTGGCACATGCCTCTAGTCCCAGCTACTCAGGAGGCTGAGGCAGTAGGATCACTTGAGCCCAGGAGTTGGAGGTTGCTGTGAGCTAGGCTGACACCATGGCACTCTAGCCTGGACAACAGAGTGAGATTCTGTCTCAAAAGAAAAAAAAAACTTCAGTATAATAACCATTTACATAGCATTTACATTGTATTGGATATTATAAGCAGTCTACAGATTATATACATATATTTCTTTCTTTCTTTAGAGAAGGGGTCTCACTCTGTGGCCCAGGCTGGAGTTCAGTGGCCTGGTCATAGCTCACTAAAACCTCAAACTTCTGGGTTCAAGTGATCCTCCTGCCTCAGCCTCCTGAGTCACTGGGACTACAGGCCCAAACCACCACACCCAGCAAGAGACAATTTAAAATATATGTGAGGGCCAGGCGTGGTGGCTCATGCGTATAATCCTAGCACTCTGGGAGGCCAAGGCGGGCGGACTGCTCGAGGTCAGGAGTTCAAAACCAGCCTGAGCGAGACCCGTCTCTACTAAAAATAGAAAGAAATTAATCGACCAACTAAAAATGTATATACAAAAATTTAGCTGGGCATGGTGGCGCATGCCTCTAGTCCCAGCTGCTTGGGAGGATGAGACAGAAGGATCGCTTGAGCCCAGGAGATTGAGGTTGCTGTGAGCTAGGCTGATGCCACAGCATTCACTCTACCCTGGGCAACAAAGTGAGACTCTATCTCAAAAAAAAAAAAAAAAAAATATATATATATATATATGAGTATGTGATTAGGTCATGTGCAAATACTACGCTATTTTATATCAGGGACTTGAGCATCTGGAAATTTTAATATCTGCAGGGGTCCTGGAACCAATGTCCTGTAGATACAGAGGGATGACTATATCCTAAAACCCACAGAATTGTAAACTTCATTTATTTTTATTTTTTTTATTTTTTTGAGACAGAGTCTTTTTGAGACAGAGCTGTGGCATCAGTCTAGTTCACAGCAACCTCAAACTCCTGGGCTCAAGCTATCCTTCTGCCTCAGCCTCCTGAGTAGCTGGTACTACAAGCATGTGCCACCACGCCTGACTAATTTTTTCTATATATTTTTAATTCTCTGGCTAATTTTTTTCTATTTTTAGTAGAGACGGGGTCTTGCTCTTGCTCTTGCTCAGGCTGGTCTCGAACTCCTGAGCTCAAGCGATCCTCCTGCCTCAGCCTCCCAAAGTGCTAGGGTTACAGGCATGAGCCACCCCACCTGGCCAATTGTAAACTTTAAATGAGTAAATCATATAGTATGTGAGTTATGACTCAATAAAGCTGGTACCATTAAAAGGGGGAGGATTTGGCCCATGGACCAGGGAAGCAGATATCACCCTGAACTCCCCCAAAATTACCAGGTTCTTGGCTGGCCAGCCAACCCCTGCGTCGAGTTCTGGGAGGCTGTTTATCAGGTGTGGGAGACACGAACACATCCTCCATGCAGACTTCCTCCAACTCGGAATCTGAACCGTCTGGGAACCCGGATTGGGGGAGGGGCTGGAGGCTGGGATTCCTGAGTACTGTGGAAGGAAGGGCTGGAGGCTCAGGTCCTTGGGTGCTGGAGGGGGAGGCGGCTGAAGGACCTGAACTCCTTGCTGTGAGGAAGGAGGGGCTGGGGTCCTGGACTCCTGAGTCCTTCGGAGAGCAAAGATTAAAGGTCCCAAACTCTTGGGGCTCTGGTGGGAGCGGTTCTGGGATACAGGCAGTCCAAGTACTCAAGTTTACCTGCTTCTGTTGGCGACGCCAGGGGGCCGCGCTCGCCGCTGCCATCTCCGCCACAGGTCATAGCACGAGGGACACTGCAGGCACCACAGCTCAGATGTGCCTCTGGCACGCTCTCCTGGAGGAAAGGGTTCTCAAAGCCTGGAAGAAAGTGCGGGGAGGCCCATTGAAAACAATCTACAAATTCTGGTCCTAAGCAAAGGAGAGGAGATCTGCCCCTTCATTCACTGCGCTCCCGGATAAGGTCCCCAATTCGCTGACCGCCCAAATCGCCAAGACTCCCCCCAGAGACCAAACTCCATCCTAAGGCTCAAACAAGCACAGCCACTAATTTTTTTCTCTCCCCTATTTTGCCCACGCTGGTCTCGAACTATTGAGCTCAAACGATCCTCACGGCTCAGCCTCCCAAGTAGCTAGGATTACAGGCGTGTGCTTCTGCTCCTGGCCCTTCTCTCATTAAATTGTAGTGGGATTAAACAATCCCATGCCATGGGCAATATATGTAACCTTAACACTTGCACCCCCATAATACGCTAAATAAATAAATAAAGGTTAGGTGCCTGCTCAAAGTCAGAATTAATAAAGTATAAAGTACAAAAGCAAGAGTTGAGGCCGGGCGCTGTGGCTCACGCCTGTACTCCTAGCACTCTGGGAGACCAAGGCCGGCAGACTGTTTGAGGTCAGGAGTTCGAAAACAGCCTGAGCAAGAGTGAGACCCCGCCTCTATTATAAATAGAAAGAAATTAATTGGCCAACTGATATATAGAAAAAATTAGCCGGGCATGGTGGCGCATGCCTGTAGTCCCAGCTACTCGGGAGGCTGAGGCAGGAGGATCGCTTGAGCCTAGGAGTTTGAGGTTGCTGTGAGCTAGGCTGACGCCACGGCACTCACTCTAGCCTGGGCAACAAAGCGAGACTCTGTCTCAAAAAAACCCAAAAACCAAAAAACAACAATCCCAAGACAGACACTTCTGTAAATCACTTTAGCCCCGCCCCCCGGCTCTACCTGGCCCCACCCAGGACTCCCTGGACCCCGCCTCCGCAATATCCGGGCGGTCCCCAGCTCGCCTGTGCTGCACCTCCAAGCTCTGTCCATTCTGCACGCAGATTCTCTCGGCCCCGCCCCCATCGTAGCGGGTCCCAAACCCGTGCTCTCTCTAGCCCCGCCCCCGAGCCCCACAAGCCCCGCCCCGGGCCCCCACAGACCCTGCTCTCAAACTCTCCAGGGGTTCGGCCAGGGCCCGCCCCCATCCACTACCACGTCCCCGCCCCAGGGCGTCACTAGGCTCCGCCCTTCTGGCTCCACTAGGCTTCGCCCAGCAGCTCCCACACAGCCCTCTCCAGGCTAACGAGGAGCCCTGGGAGCCTTTGCTGACCGCTATCATTCCGGAGGTGCTTCTCCGGCCGCCACAGTCGCCGGAGCCGCAGGGAAGCATCAGGATTGGCCTGAACCATGAGGGGTTCTTGGCGCTTCCGTCGTTGCTTCTTCTCAAACAGCCGCCACTGTGGGAGCAGGAGAAGGGGGCGTGGGGGCCAAGAGCAAGAGCCTGCATCGGTGGGAGAGTTCGTGAACCCCTTCCGCCACTGGGTCCCAGGTGTCTAGGCCCCTGGTCTGTCAGCTCCTCCTCCCTCAGATCCAAGAGTTCTGGCACCCAACCCCCTCTTTTCCCCGGATCTAGGAGTCCTGCCCTCTAGAACTCTTGTTCCTTAGCAATTCTGGAGTCTCATCACCAGGGTTTATTTGCTCCTTTGAGATCCTGATGTCTTATTTTCTCATTTCCCAACATGAGGTGCAGAGAGCCAACATGGGCTGAGAGTCCTAGAGCAAGTCCTGGGGATGGGGCTCCTGGGAAGCCCAGAAGACGGAAGAGTGGGAGTGGCAAGATTCCTGGGCATAGTACCTGCTGTTCCAGCTTCTGCAGTCTCAAGGCGGCAAGCTCTTCCGCCAGGATCCTGAGAGAGATGCAGGCTCATAGTAACAGCAAGCAGGGCACCTAGGTTGCTCAACAACCTCTCCCTCTACCCTCCTTCCCCTGCCCAGCTTGGGTTCTGAGCACATGTGAGGTCATAGACGGTGCAGAACCTGAGCCTGCTCCACCAGTTCTGAAGCTCTTTCGGCACTGGTCTGTCCAGAAGCCTTGAATCAGAGATCCCAGGCCCCTCCTGTCTCAGGACTCAGGAGTTGGGGGTCCCCAGGCCCTCTTCTTTGAGACCCAGACATCTCCACCCTAGCCCCCTCTCTTTAGGATGCAGGAGTCCAGGTCCCCTACCCTTTCCTGCAAGGCTAATTGGTGCTGAACCAGCAAACATGGTTATGAGGCCAGAGCTGAGTGCCTGGGGGCATAAATAAGCTTTAAGTACCACCCTTCCACCTCCACTCCCCACCCCTACCCATCTGTTTGCCCACTCACTCTTTCTTCCATGTGTCATTCTCCTGAGACATTCTGTAGAAGCAAAAATGAGGAGTCAGGATCCAGAACCAAGAAATGGACTCTGCCTGTTAACACCTAACCCTAAGCTTTAAATGTTCTCATGGACCCAGGTAGCCCAAATCCCAGCACCCACTCCTGTTGGGACCCAGTACCATGTTTCCAGCTTTCCTTAGTATCAGGGGCCTAGAAATCCAGTTCTCTCTCCCCCAAATACCTAACTCCTTTTGCCACGAGAAGCAAAACTACTCTGGAAATAAAAGAATAAAAGAAAGAAAGAAAGAAAGAAAAACCACCTAACTCCTGTACCCAAGCATCAGAACTCAGGACTGTGGCTCCACACACCCAATCCCTAGTGGCCCAGACGCCCAGCGCCCACCTGCCTGGGATCCTGGAGACTCCTCTTTCCCTCGTGCCTGGTGCCCGGGGAGGCTGCTCGCTCACATTGAAGCCTCTGTGCCTTGCTTCTCTGGCCAATCTCTAAACATACCTGACCCTCTCTTTGGAAGCTGGGGACCTAATTAATCTCTGAGTCTCTGGGAAATAGATAGGAGGAAAAAAAAAAAAAAAGGGCTTGGAGGGAGGGGGGATTCCCACTGGGACCTGCCCTGGTCCCCTCCCTCCTGGCCCCCCGCGCTTCACTTCCAACAAAGCAATGACTCCTGGCCGGCTGCAGCCAGGCAACCCTGCTCCAACGGTTCTGAATTGGAATGACATGGGAGAGTTCCTTAAAGGTACCCGAGAAAGGGTGCCTCGCAGTCTCACTCTGCACATCTTACTTGCAAGGAACTTATGAGGTGGATTTTGCAATCGTTACTGAGCCGCAACTTGCAGACACTTTCTCCAGGAGAAAGCAAACGGGAAAACCACAACTCCCATGGGACGAAGTAGCCACGGCGCCTGCGGAAGTTGACGCACGTTCCCTGGGCCTGCAGGGAGTTGTAGTTCTCCTTGAAAGTCTCCGCCCACTCTTTTGCGTAAAAGGCAGGAAATGCGGCGTCAAGAGGCTGGGCTTTCGAGAAAGGAGGCGAGGCTTTCGAGAAAAGACGAGCGACTTCGGCAAGGGGCGGGGCCGCCAGACGCGGATGAAGGAGCCCAGAGCCATCGTGGACCAATCAAGCTTCTGGGGCGGGCCCTCGGTGGGAAAGTGGGCGTGGCCTAAGGGGGAAATCGCCGGGGACGCACCGGAGGTCCTTGCGGGGAGAACGCCCTCTGCGGTGGAGGAGAGGTGAGGGCCCGGGGTTCTAGGCTCGGGGTCCTGGGCAGGATGGGAGCCAGAGGGCTGGAAGACTGGGTCCCGGGGGAGGACGAGCCGGGTGCCAGTACTTCTAGGTTCTGGGAAGCGAAGATTCGGGGGCCTGGGCTCTTGGGTCTGGGGGAGGTGGGGGCCGAACTCCTGGACTCCAGAGTCTGAGGGAGGGGGCTGTTAGAAGCCGGGACTCCTGTGTCGGAGGAAGGGAAGGCTGGAGTCCTGGAATCTTGGGTCCCGGGTAACGAAATGCTTTGTGTGTCGATTCTTGGAAGTGGGGTCGGCGCTGGGGGCCCAGACTTCTGGGTGCAGGGGAGGAAGAGGCTTGGGACAGACTGCATCCGTTATTCACCTCTCCGCCCCTCACAGACCACGCCGCCATGCCTCGCTCTGGACCCCGTGGAGCCCTGCTCCTGCCACCGTTCCTGCTGCTGCTGCCGCTGCTGCTGCTGCGCGCTGTGCTGGCCGTGCCCCTGGAGCGGGGGGCGCCCCACAAGGAGGAGAGCCCCGCGACCGAGAGCCCCGTGAGTGGCCCTGCCCTGCTCGCCAGCCAGGTGTTTGCAGTGGTGCTACAATTCCTGCGGACCCCTGTGGCCCGTGGGTGGATACTCCAGTGACTTCCTTGCCCCACGGTCGTGGCTTGTCGTTTGCCTGCCATTCTTTGCAGTACCAGGGGTTTGATTTGGTGAAAAACCGGGGATCTGTGACGCTGAGGTGTGGAAAGTCTGCATCACTCCCCACCTATACTTCTCTGTTGTTTTAAGATTCTCCCCATGAGGCCGGACGCCGTGGCTCACGCCTGTAATCCTAGCACTCTGGGAGACCATGGCAGGATGATCGTTTGAGCTCAGAGTTGTAGAGCAGCCTGAGCAAGAGCAAGACCCCCGTCTGTATGAAAATAACAGAAAGAAATCAGCTGGACAACTTAAAAAAATATATATATATACATATATATATAAATTAGCCGGTCATGGTGGTGCATGCCTGTAGTCCCAGCTACTCAGGAGGCTCAAACAGGAGGATCCCCTGAGCCCAGGAGTTTGAGGTTGCTATGAACTAAGCTGACACCACGGCACTCTAGCCAGGACAACAGAGTGAGACTCTGCTACTCAGGAGGCTGAGACAGGAGGATGGCTTGAGCCCAGGAGTTGGAGGTTGCTGTGAGCTAAGCTGACACCACGGCACTCTAGCCAGGGCAACAGAGTGAGACTCTGTCTCAAAAATAAATAAATAAATAAAAGATCCTTCCCACCAACGAAGGAATCTGGAAAAAAAATAAAAGAACTACATTTCCCAGTAGCACCATTAGCAGCTGATGTTAGCTGACTGGGGGTTTTCTTATTTCATGGAGCTCATGGGAATTGTAGTTTATAAAAGGGCACGTGAACTGTTAATTCCAACACATGTTTATGGAACCCTATGAAAACTTTGGTTCTAAAGGGTTTGAAACTTTAGAGATCTTCAAGGCCAGCACCCTGATTTGTGGCCTGAATCTCCTTACAGCTCCTGGTAGGAATGGGCTGGTCGTTACTTCCTGGACAGATCATTCCATGCTCCTGGTCCCAACCCAGGAAGTTAGGCCTCTGTTCTGTGAAATCATTGCAGACGTAGATGGGCACATTGAGACCCCTTTCCCTTCATTCATTCCACACATTTCTTGAGCATCTTCTACGAGCCAGGCACAGTGCTAGTTGCTGGGACACAGGCATGTGCAAGCCCCATGCCCTCTTGGACTGGCCTAGCTTGCTGGGAGATGGAAGACAAAGGCCAGGGCTCTATGAGAGTGAACACCATAGGTGACAGTCAGCCTGGGGAAAGGCCGCAGTTGGAGAGAGCAGATTGAGTTGAGGGACTTGACGGAGGCTGGTGTGGCTGGAACAGAAAGAGGAGGAGGGGATGGGAGATCATGAGGGATCTTGTTGGGCTTGGTAGAGAACATATTCTTTATTCCTAGGTTAATGAAAAGCACAGAAAACAACAACACAACAACAGTCATAACTTCTACAGCCCCTGCTAAATGCCAGGCACTGTGTTAAATATTTTAAAATGTTAATTCATCTCATCCTCACAACAGCCCTATGAGGTGGGGACTCATTAACCTTACTTTAAGGTTAGTGAGTAAACTGAGGCACACACAGGTTTAGCCACTTGCCCAAGAACTAGGGCTGCTAGATTTAGCAAATAAAAATGCAAGATATGGTCCTTGTCTGCGAGAGTGGCCACTGCGTTGGTGCTCTGGGGCTTGGACCCTGGCTAGCCAGAAAAAAAAAATTATTTAAAAAAAATAAAATAAAATAAAAAAATAAAAAAAAATGCAAGATATCCAGTTAAATTTGAATGCCAGATAACATAATTATTAGTATACGGAAAATGCCCCCGACGAGTATCACCTAAAGTTATTACTTGTTGGATTCTCGCTGGATTGGTATCACTTTTGTTTTTTTGTTTGAGACAGAGTCTTGCTCTGTTGCTTGGGCGCCTAGAGTGCCCGTAGGGGTCAGCCTAGCTCATAGCAACAGTTCAAACTCCTCGGGCGTCCAGGAATCCTCGCTCGCCTCAGCCTCCCACGTAGCTGGGACTACTGCTGCGCAACCTATGCGCCGAATTTATATACCTCATACTACTATACCATATATAGGTATATTAGTATGTATATTTTTTTTTTTTTGTTTTTTTTATTTCTAGTTTCCAGCTAATTTGTTTCTATTTTTCTTAGTAGAGACGGGGTTCCGACTCCTGAGCTCCAATGATCACTCCCTCGGCCTCCCAGATGCCTAGGATTACATCGGCTGGAGCAGCGCTGAGCAATTTGTTGCTTTTCTGAAATCTAAATTTACTGGGTATCTATAGGACATGCGGATCCCCATACTATAGATAGCGCTCACATAGCTAGGAGTGTAGACTTTGCGGGTTCAGTCCCAGTTACCTACATGCTCTTGGCTGAATAACTGGGTCCAATGTGTCTTCACATTTCTGAAATCCCCAATCTGTGGAAGCAAATCCTGGGTTTTCCAGATGGGCCCAGTAGTCACAAGGATCTTTCTTTTTTTTTTTTTTTTTTTTTTGAGACAGAGGTCTCACTTGTGGTTCCGAGGTAGGAGTGACGTGCTGTGGCGTCAGCCTCAGCTACAAGCAACCTCAACTCCTGGGCCTTGGAGTGATCTTCTGCCTCAGCCGTCCCTCAGTAGCCGGGACTACAGGCAGCGCCACCATGCCGAGTATTTTTTACTTTATTATATGTTATCGTAGTTGGCCATTATTCTCTTTCTATTTATCAGTCAGACGACGGGGTACTCGCTCTTGCTCTAGGATGCGTCTTTGAACTCCTGACCTTGAGCACCACCCGCCTCGCCTCCCAAAGCTTAGCGATTCACCGCGGGAGCCACAGCGCCGCGGCCAGGATCTTTCTTTATAAGAGGGAAGCAGAGTGGTCAGTCAGAGAAGGAGATGTGACAAAAGAAACAAAGGTGAGAGCCAAGGAATGCAGGTAGCTTCTAGAAGCTGGCAAGACAAGGAAACAGATTCTCCCCTGGAGCCTCCAGAAGGAGCATAGCCCTGCAGACCCATTTTGGACTTTTGACCTCTAGGATTCTGAGAGTATAAATTTGTGTTGCTTTAAGCTACTAAGTTTGTCATACTTTGTCATAGCAACAACAGGCAACTAATACACCCATAATGGCATAGCTGGGTGATGCAAGACAAGTAACAGTAATGATAAGGCTGCTGCCATTTATCAAGCACCCACTGTGTGCTTCTCAACTTACGTAATAATAGCTAGAGCAGTCTGAAATATCTTCTATAGCAGCGGTCTCCAACCTTTTTGGCATCAGGGATTGGTTTCATGGAAGATAATTTTCCATGGAAGGTAGAGGGGGGATGGTTTGGGGATATTCAAGCATGTTACATTTATTGTACACTTTATTTCTATTATTAGTACATTGTCAACCTCTCTGCTAATGATGATCTGTATTTGCAGCTGCTCCCCAGGGCTAGTATCACCGCCTCAGCTCCACCTCAGATCACCAGGCATTTAGACTCTCATAAGTAGCGAGCAACCTAGATCCCTCACATGTGCAGTTTACAGTGGGGTTCATACTCCAGTGAGACTCCAATGCCACCGCTGATTTGACAGGAGGCAGAGCTCAGGCCGTGATGCTAGTGAGGAGAAGAATGGCGGTAAATACAGAACTGCCACTCACCTCCTGCTGTGCGGCCCACTTCCTAACAGGCCATGGATGGGTAGGACCACAGTTCTATAGCCTTACCATTGTGTCAGGCAGTTTCTCTCATATTCTTTTCACCCCAGCTCTGGGAGTTACAGAATATATTGCCCATTTTACAAATATAAAGAACAAGTCCCAGGGAGAGCAAAGTGCCACCCTGCCAGCTACACGTGGCAGAGATAGGACCAGG